TCCAAAGACAACCCAAAATATGTATGCTAAATTTGAGCAGAGAGGACAGGAAATACCTATGAAGAAAGAATACTCAGAAACACCCCTTAAGACACCCAGTAATTGCTCGTACTGTGATTAAACTGTCAGAATGTAGCTAGCTATATGCTGATAAAAAGGGGGGAAAGGGCAAAAGGAAACTTCCTAAGAGATATGCTGGCATAGTAAGTACAGATTTGAGTGCTATATGATTTTCCTAGGGTAGTGGTAATAAGCAATTCTGCCATTAAGACTCATTGATCACTGGAACTCACACATGCACATCAACTGACAGTAAGGAAGCATCTCATAGGCCTAGACAGAAACTTGGTGAGGGTAAAAGAAGAGATTTACCAGGAAGCAGGAAACTCCACAAAGACAGAGGCAGATACTTAAGACAGAGGTGGGAATTTTTTGAAAGTCTATAATAAAAACTGCAACATGTAAATCTCAAGGCTGTTTCCAGCTGGGCCAATCCACTCCTCCTTCCGTGTGTTATTTTCCTTTAATGAACTCCTTGCTTGCTTCATTAATTGTCTCTGGGCTGAATTGTTTCTCTCAAGAAAACAAGAAACAAGGACCTTATGTATGCTGAATTACATTAATGTAATTAATGAATGTTTGAATTCAATAGCTGCCATAATGTCCAAATTTTTTTTCAGAGAAGGTGACCAAGAACTTGGATAAAGTTAGATGACTGAAAATAAAAACTGTACCACATGAACTGCATCCTCTAAAACAAATCTCAAATACCTCAAGATTGCAATATGAATCTCAACAAAAAAAGATCATTGCAGATTTTGAATCTACACAGATCATTCTAATATTTTTCCAACACTTAACATTTACCCTCAAAAATAGAAGATTCAGCATGAAAAATGTTTTGCTAAGTCAGAGAAACTGTAAAATTCTTCATCTACCATTAAGTCTTACAAATTTTATTTTGAAGATATGTTTTCAGAGATTTCAAAATTCTGATGTGTTTCTTCATATGGTGCTTACAATATGCAACCCACTTATATTTATGCTTTAATATATATTAAGGTATGTTACATTTAACACACTTTGTATTCCAATCTCATACAATTTTTCTTCAACAGAAAAACAATGCTCACTTAATCTTACATATGCAGAGTGAATTACTCTTACTTCAATTAAGTGATCTGAATGTTGCACTGATAAGCTATAATCTCAAACACCCCAGTTAAAAACAATTTATTACATTAAAAATTCTGAACATCTCATCAGAGCCTAGAAAGTCCAAGTGAAATTACATGGCATGAAGAGAACACTGGGAAACTGTAGCCATAACACAAAGACGACGAGTGAAGCATACATAGCTGGGTATAAACACATGAAGACATCAGAAAACTAAAAATAATTAAAAAATAAAAACAGGCCAGGCACAGTGGCTGATGCCTGTAATCCCAGTACTTTTGGAGGCCAAGGTGGGTAGATCACGAGGTCAAGAGATTGAGACCATCCTGGCCAACATGGTGAAACCCTGCCTCTGCTAAAACCACAAAAATTAGCTGGGCATGGTAGTGTGCACTTGTAGTCCCAGCTACTTGGGAGGCTGAGGCAGGAGAATCGCTTGAACCCGGGAGGTGGAGATTGCAGTGAGCCAAGATCGTTCCATTGCACTTCAGCCTGGCGACCAAGTGAGACTCCGTCTCAAAAAAATCTATCTATCTATCTATCTATCTATATGGAAAATGAAATGTTCCAATAAAATATAACTTTATACACATTGTGAAATTACATCTAAAAAGTATTTTCTGTGCACTAATTTTTTTAAAAAAATTCTTATAATTTCTGACCAGCTCACATACTTTATGAAGTTTAAAAAAAAAAGAATCAGAAACAAGAAAAGTATACCTCTAGCATGAGCACCACATAAAAACAGGCACTTTTCATGGGGAGATTCTCAACAATGATCCATTAGAATTTACAGTAATTACGTAAAAATAAAATATAGATTTTAATTCAAGATGTTTTAGGTTTCTAGATTTCTAGTAAATTATCCACAGTATTAATAGAAACTCCTTTGTTCCAATATTGCTATTTTCTTTGGAAAATAGGTACAAACTCTCATGCAAACACAATTGCTTGCTTCATAATTTTCTTATACCCAAGGTTTATCTTTAGAGCACAACATTTATATATTTAACTCCATGTAAATTAAAACTAGAAGTCTGTATGTTTGCAGAACATGATGCATGTTCAAAGATAAATAGGAAACATTTTTGAAAACCATTCAGGACTCAGGAATGTATGAATAATTATATTCTGATATAACTATTACAATCATAAAATGACCTGTAGTAGAAAAAATTGTACGTTTGAAAATAATTGAAGTGTATAATTAGATTGTAGGTAATATAAAAGATAAATGCTGGAGAAACCCCATCTCTACTAAAAATACAAAATTAGCCAGGCATGGTGGCACATGCCTGTGATCCCAGCTACTCGGGAGGCTGATTTAGGAGAATTGCTTGAACCCTGGAAAAGGTGGAAGATTGCCATGAAGCCAGACTGCCCATGGCACTCCGGCCTGGCAACGAAAGCCGAAAATTGTCTCAAAACCAAAAAAAAAAAAGCAAGACGATGATAACTCGTTGTATCTAAAATCATATTACATTATTGTATGCCTGTAATCAAATAACCCATAACCACTAAGTAGTCATACTTACCAACTATGTAGCCCACAAAAAATTTTTAAAAATTAAGTATAGAATAAATGCAACATGAACAATATTCATTATTACTTTGCGTTTAAAGCCATTGGAAAAGAGACAAAATAGTCATTCAGCTATGTTATCAGATTAGTACATGTTACGCATCTCTACCTACACCTTTTCAGTAAGGTGGATAGCGTGGAAGTTGCCTGCCATAATACCATTCATTCAAGGGCACAATAACCTTCTACACATTAACAAATTTTATTTAAAAAACTAAGGCGGTGCGATGGCTCTCATGATTTGCAATCCAGAACGTTTGGAACGAGGTGGGGTGGATCCTACAAGGTCAAGAGCCAAGACTCAGCCTGTGAATATGCTGAAACCCAATCTTTACCAAAAATACACAAAAATTAGCGGGGCGCTGTGGTGTACAACCTGTAACCTCAGCCCCTACTCCGGAAAGGCTGAGGCAAGAGAATCACTTAACCCTGAAGGTGGAGGTTGTCAGTTGAGCAAGATCATTGCCACTTGCACTCCAACCTGGGCAATAAGTGAGACTCTGTCTCGGAAAAAAATTAAGTTCACATAAATCTTAAAAGAGATATTTAAATTTACAGCCATTTTATTGAATTTATTACATAAATGTACATTGGGAAAGAAACTTAACTATAAAATCCAGATTGTTTCCTCACTATAATCGGCAAATGTACTCTGACACCCTACCGTCACTGCATACCAACTCCTAAGTCAACCGCACAAAAAGCCTCAACTGCTAAGATTTTCCGCAGGCCATCTTCTTCTGTTCTCTTCATTTTCAGTAAAAGTTCAATGAGATAACCGCCCACCTAATAAATTTTCTAATATCCTAATGAGCAATATTCATGCACACGCTTCACATACATACAACGTTGAAATACTATAAATTTTGATTGAATTGTTTTTTCAAAACAAATAATTTTTATTGTTTTATTCAAAAAATCTATACTTGTTTTCAAGTAAAAAAATACTTGAATGTCCTTCATAAAATCTACCTTCTTTTCAACTGTACCACAGATTTTTTTTTTTTTTTCAGTAGAGTCTGCCTCTGATTCCCAGGCTGGAGTGCCAGTGGTGGTCAATCTCAGCTCACTGCAAGCTCTGCCTCCTGGGTTCAAGTCATTCTCCTGCCTCAGCCTAACTAGCTGGGACTCACAGGTGCCCGCCACCACGCCCGGCTAATTTTTGTATTTTTTAGTAAGATGGGGTTTCACTGTGTTAGCCAGGGATGCCTCGGTTCCTGACCTCGTGATCCGCCTGCCTTGGCCTCCCCAAAGTGCCGGGAATTACGGCGACGAGGCCCCCGGCGCTCGGCCCACGAAGAAAGTTTCTAACAGGTTCAACTTTGGATTTTTTCACACTTAATATTCTGATTCCTTGTAAAGTGTTAGTTCCTTAGTTCTTTCTCCAGTAAATCCTCTGATGTTTAAATAGTCTTAATTTTAGCCTAAATATTTCTCCACATTTATTGCATCTACAAATTATCTTCTAATATAAACTCTCTAGTGTTTCTTAAGCTGCAGTTTTTGAGCAGATGTTTTTCTACATTTATAGGATTTCGCTCCAATATAAATTCTCTGATGTTGAACAAAGTTTGAGCGACTGCTTCTGTGTCTTCCGCTAGTAAAAAAAAAATGTACACAGTAAGATCCAAGATACAAGTACAGGCACTACAACCCTCTTTATATTTGTATTGTCTGTCTTAAGAACACTCTTCTTCGCTTTAATGGCCTATATTTTCTAAAAGGCCTTTCAACAGAAATCATACTTATAATGCTTTTGTTAACTATAAATTCTGATGTCTGGTAAGATGTGAGTAGACATTAATGGCTTTTGTATTTTTATATTTGTACAATTACTCTCACGTGTAAATGCTATCACATGCAAAAAGATAGGAACATTGGTAAAAAGTTCTGCCACATTTTTTGTATTTCTAGTTTTCTTTAGTACTAATTACACACAGTAAGATGTGATGAGAATTTGAAGTCTGCTGGGCACAGTGGCTCATGCCTGTAATCCCAGCACTTGGTGAGGCCGAGACAGGTGGATCACAAGGTCAGGAGATCGAGACCATCCTGGCTAACATGGTGGATCCTTGTCTCTACTAAAAATACAAAAAATTAGCCTAGTGTAGTGGCGGGCGCTTGTAGTCCCAGCTACTCAGGAGGCTGAGGCAGGAGAATGGCATGAACCCAGGAGGTGGAGCTTGCAGTGAGCTGAGATCATGACACTGCACTCCAGCCTGGGGGAAAGAGCGAGACTCCATCTCAAAAAAAAAAAAGAATTTGAAGTCTTTGCCACATTTTAAATTTTCATATGGCTTCTCACCAATGTCATTTATCTTATGTTTAGAACAGAGAGGTATGGTTAAAAGCTTTCCCACATTTTTCACATTTGTAGAGTTTCTCTCCATTATGAATTATCTTATGATTAGAAAGGATTGAGGAGCATTTAAAGACTGCCACATTTTTCATATTGGTAAGACATTCCTCCAGTACGAGTTCTCTTATGTTTAAGAATGCTGGAGTACAGCATAAAGGCTTTTCCACATCCTTTACATTTGTATTATTTTATCTCTAGTATGAATTCTCCTGTGTACATAAAGGTTTCCGGACTGTCTAAAGGCTTTGCCACATTCTTCACATGTGTAGGGTTTCTCTCCAGTATGAATCATCCTATGTTTAATTAGGGTTGTGAAGCTATTAAAGGTTTTATGACATTCTAGATATTTATATGGTTTCTTGCCAGTATGAAATCTCTTATGTTTAGCAGAGTTTGATGATGACGTAATGACTTTGCCACATTCCTTACATTTGTAGGGGTTCTCTCCATTATGAATTTTCTCATGTTTATTCATGGGTGAGGGCTGTTTATAGGCTTTCCCACATTCTTTGCATTTGTAGGGTTTGTCTCCCATATGAATTTTCTTATGTTCATTCAGGGTTGTGGACCATCCAAGAGCTTTGCCACATTCTTCACATTTGTAGGGTTGCTCTCCAGCATGAATTTTCTTATGTTGATTCAGGTATGAGGACTGTTTGAAGGTTTTCCCACATTCTTTACATTTGTAGGGTTTTTCTCCAGTATGAATTCTCTTATTTTCATTCAGGATTGTGGACCATCCAAAAGCTTTGCCACATTCTTCACATTTGTAGAGTTTATTTCCAGTATAAATGTTCTTATGTTCATTCAGGTTTGTGGATCATTCAAAGGCTTTGCCACATTCTTCACATTTGTAGAGTTTATTTCCAGTATAAATGTTCTTATGTTCATTCAGGTTTGTGGATCATTCAAAGGCTTTGCCACATTCTTCATATTTCTAGAGTTTCTCTCCAGTAAAAATTTTATTATGTTGATTAAGATATAAGGGCCGCTTAAAGGCTTTACCACATCCTTTACATTTGGGGGTTTTATCTCCAGTATGAATTATCTTACGTTTATTCAGGACTCTAGAACGTCTAAAGGCTTTGCCACACTCTTCGCATTTATAAAGTTTCTGTCCAGTATGAATTTTCTTATGTTTACTCAGGTATGTGGACCATCCAAAGGCTTTGCCACACTCTTCACATTTGTAAGGTTTATCTCCAGTATGAATTGTCTTATGTTTATTCAGGGCTCTGGAACATATAAAGGCTTTGCCACACTCTTCACATTTATAAGGTTTCTCTCCAGTATGAATTTTCTTATGTTTACTCAGGTATGCGGACCATCCAAAGGCTTTGCCACACTCTTCACATTTGTAAGGTTTCTCTCCAGTATGAATTATCTTATGTTTATTCAGGTCTGTGGACCATATAAAGGCTTTGCCACATTCTTCACATTTGTGGGGCTTCTCTCCAGTATGAATTCTCTTATGTTCATTCAGGGTAGTGAACCGACTAAAGGCTTTTCCACATTCTTCACATGGGTAGGGTTTCTCTCCAGTATGAATTCTGTTATGCTTATTAAGGGTTGCAGATTGTCTAAAGGCTTTGCCACATTGTTCACATTTGTAGGGCTTCTCTCCAGTATGAATTCTCTTATGTTCATTCAGAACTGAGGACCTACTAAAGGCTTTGCCACATTCTTCACATGTGTAGGGTTTCTCTCCAGTATGAATTCTCTTATGTTTAGTAAGGGTTGTGGACCTATTAAAGGCTTTGCCACATTCCTGACATTTGTAGAGTTTCTCTCTGGTATGAATTTTCTTATGTTTGGCAACGTTTGAGGATGAGGTAATGATTTTGCCACATTCTTCACATGTGAAGGGTTTCTCTTCAGCATGAATTCTCTTATGCTTAGTAAGGGTTGAGGACCTATTAAAGGCTTTGCCACATTCTTCATATTTGAAAGATTTCTCTTCAGTGTGAACTTTACGTTTAGCAAAGTTTGAGAATGTGGTAAAGATGTTGCCACATTGTTCACATATGAAGGGTTTCTCTCCAGTATGAATTACCTTATATTCATTAAAGACTAAATACCATTTAAAGTCTTTGCCACATTCTTCACATGTGTAGGGTTTCTCTCCAGCATGAATTCCTTTATGAGTTAGGTCTGAGAACTTCTGAGATGACTTGCCACATTCTTTAAAGTGTTTCTCTCCAGTATGTCTTGTCTTATGTTGGTTTGAATTTGAAAATTTACTAAAGACTATGACATGTGCATTACACTGAAATATTTTGCTCTGGGTAGTTGACAAGCATTGACTAAATTCATTATAACCTGCTTTCTGTACCTTCTTTTTACAGCCTTTTCTTAATTGTAAATTCTCATGTCCACATTTCTCATATCTTCTCAATATAAGTTTGTGGAATGAATCTTCTATCTCCTGCACTGGCAAAAAGTCTTGGGTGAAATGAGAACACATAGCTGAAAGAAATAAAAACAAACTATCCTGCTTACTAGATTCATATGAATATACTTTAAAAATCTAATATGTAAACTTATACAAAGTACATTAGTAAGATGGCATAACAAAATACCACAGGCCATAATTTCTTCACAGACATACACATGTAACAAACATATACTGATCAAAATGCCTTTTAGTGAAATCTACAAATGAGTTACATGCAATGCCTCAGGTAAGCACAATGCGAAGAGCCACATAGAACAGGAAGGAAGGTTTGTTACATTTAGCAACCACAGTTCTTCCTCCTCCCCAATATAGCACTGTGCCATTAGAAGTAAACTGTCAACTCCTGTCTTCTTACTTAGAAGAAAAATACACGTATCCTTACTTCTGGCTTTTGGGGATCTTTCAAAAACTGGTTTCTGCCTCCAATAACAAAAGAGTGCTGAAAGAAATGGTGATATACTTTGGAAGGAAAGCTTGGGTCTGCTAAGACCAAATGTACATGTTTCAAGAGCAGACTGAAGTGCTAAATACAGACAACAGAGCAAGTGATTAAAGACTCTTAAAAGGAAACATGAACAAACCCTTTTAACTAAAAAATAAACACAAAATTCTAGACAAGACACATCCTTCCAACATGTATGAGAGGTTGCCATAATCTGTATCAAAGACAACTGGCTTCAGACTATGTCAGGACAAAGCAACATTATAAAGGTTGTGATAGCTTTTTGTTAATGTTCAAATAACAAGCAAATATTATAATGTATACAAAATATTAGAACATGGTCTAATTAAACAATTTAAAATTTTTCAGAAAACAACATAAAAACAAAGATGTACAAATTTTTAAAATGTAACCTGAATAATGCTGAATAAGCTAAATGGAAACATACAACAAAATGTAATCAGAAAAATGAGAACATCAATGTAAACGTTAAAAACACAAAAAACAAATCATGAAGGTGAAAAATGCAAAATAAAGACTTAGAAATTTTCAAGTTAAAAAAAAGCATGTAGAAAAGGAAGAAGCTCAACAAACTTCAACTAGGTTACACACAGATTTACAGCAAAGCACATACATAAGCAAAGTTTCAAAAATCAAACTCAAAACGGGCACCTTAGGAGCTGCAAAATAAAAGTGATGTGTCATTTATAACTGTGGTCTTCATATAACCAGCAAAACTGTCCTAAAAATGAAGAATAAAGACCTTTCAAGATAACCAAATGCTGAAAAAGTAAATATGTCTTACCAAAACAATGCTCAAGGAAGTATCTTCCCGTGAAAATAACATAATGCAAGAAAACCAAACATAATCATATGAAATACATAACTTTCTGAAAAAGATACGCACATACACAAAGTTCTGTACCACTATCATATTACAGAAAACATTGTAATCTCTAAAATTGTAAAGTCGAAAGCATAAAAATGATCAAACTGTTCATCATAATCTGTTAATAATATATAACAACAATATGATTACTGACATCAATAATGAAGTTGAGGGCAGATATAATGAAGAAGAATTTTCAAATTCAACTTGTTTTTACCAGTTTAAAATATATTATTTTAACTTAAAGAAATTTTATGTAATTCTCAAGATACCAGAAAAAAAGTATCTGTATAGATACACCAAAAAATAAGAAGTAAAGGTGTATCAATACAAAAATAAAAAAGACACTAAGGAAGACAGAAAAAGAAAATAACGGACAAAAATAAAATAATCCAGTAAAACAATAAGACGAGTAAGTCTATTTCAGCAAATTATTCAAATATTTATGAAATAAAGTTTCCATTCAAAATACATACACCAAATAAGGGGATTGATTGCCAAAATTAAAACACAAGATCCAACTTGCTTTTCTACAGGAGTCACTTGAGATGTAATGATTTTAAAAAGACTGAAAAAGGCAAAATGAAAAGATATTTCATGCAAATAACCAAATAAGAGGTCCAAATTATGTAATACAAAGTACATCTTAAGTCAAAACTGTCCTATTTCATAAAATATACTTTAAAAAGTCCTAAGAAAGAAGGACATTAAACAATAATAAAATAATAAAAAGGTTCATTTACTGGGAACTAATGACAAATATGTGTACACATGTTAATATGTGTGTGTGTCTCTCCCACATTGAGTTCCAAATATACAAAGTCAATACTGACAGAATTAAAGCAAGACAAAGAGAGCAATATAATTATAGTAGGATATTTAAATACCCCAGTTTCTGTAAGGAATAATGGAATGAGATAAAATATTCATAAGGAAACAGGAGACTTGAAAGCAGTATCAAACAATTATGCCTAACAGAACTGTAGAGAACACAGCTCAGCAACAACTAAATACACACCCTTCTGAATAGCTCATAGAATATTCTCCTTGATAGACTGCATGTCAGGGCACAAAAAAAGTCTTACAGTTTTTAAAATTGAAATTTTACAGATTACTTTTAATGACCAAACTGGAATGAGAGTAGAAATAAAGAAAAGTAAACAATTTACATATTTATAGAATTTAAACAACACACACTTAAGCATGCTCTTGTTCAAAGTTTGAAATAATGAGGTCGCCAGGCACGGTGGCTCAAGCCTATAATCCCAGCACTTTGGGAGGTCAAGATGGGCGGATCACGAGGTCAGGAGATCGAGACCATCCTGGCTAAGGTGGTGAAACCCCATCTCTACTGAAAAAATACAAAAAACTAGCTGGGCGAGGTGGCGGGCACCTGTAGTCCCAGCTACTAGGGAAGCTGAGGCAGGAGAATGGCGTAAACCCAGGAGGTGGAGCTTGCAGTGAGCTGAGATCCGGCCACTGAACTCCAGCCTGGGCGACAGAGTGAGACTCCGTCTCAAAAAAAAAAAAAAAAAAAAAGAAAGAAATAATGAGGTCTAGACTGCTCAATATAATCTACAGATTAAATGCAATCCCTGGCAAATTTGTAATTAAATTCTTATAGTAATAGAAACAGCAACCCCCATATTATATGGAACAGTGAAGTACCCAACAATCTTTAAAAACAGAAGCAATCTCAGAGGCTTCACAGCTCCTGATTTCAAAACACATGCAAATCTAAAGAATTAAAACAATCTAGGATGGGTATAAAGCTGAACAGCAGCTAGATCAACTAAATAAAATCTGGCAAAAAATATGAACTCTCACACATGGTCACATGAAGAGTAATTTAGACACTCATAATTATTGCAGTATTGTTCCTGAAAGCAAATAAAAGCAATGCAGATTTCTCACTAAATTGATAAATATAATTTCAATTATTAAAATAATATTACTCAGTTTGTAAAAAGCAAAAAATATTCAAACAAGTACAATAAAGATAAATCTTGATGACATTATACAACAAAAAGTCACGAAGAGACAAATTGAATCAACTTACATGAGATATCTAAAGCAGTTGGACTTTAAAAATAAAAAATAGAATTGTTTGTATAAAGGGCGAGAAAATAGAAAAAGTACATAGTTAAGATATATTGAGTGTTAGCTTTGCAAGATAAACATTTTAAAAATATAGTGTATAAAACTGTTAATAAAATGTGACTAAGATGAATATTTAAAAATATATAAAATTTTAAATGTTATACATTTTTGAAAACAAAAACATCTAAAAGAGATAGAGGTATGAGTTTTGGAAATTATCTTCAAATCACAGAAGTGTTTCTCACACACACACAAATATAGATTTACAAATAAATAGAGGGTAAAATTAGGAGAATTTCAATGACTACTCACATAAGCAGGGTAAAACCACCATTGTTACACACAAAGAAAATAAGTATACAACTTAAAAACAATATAGACATACACCTGGTACCACATCACTGTATCCAAAATATTCCAAAAATATTCAAGGCAGGACTTCAAATACATATTTACACATGCATGGTAATTATTATTTATAGAAGACAATTCCTGGAAGCAACACAAATGTCCCTTTAGAGATCAATATCAGTTTTAAATGTGACATATACATACAATATTTATTTTAAAACAGATATTCTGACACATCTTTGTGGAAGAAAAGTTAAATATTAAATTTGAACTCAACTGAACATGACATAAACAATGGTCACCAAATCCCAGAATGGGTTATGTGAGCCCCTTGAGATGTTCATCTAGCACTGTTTCAAAGAAATTTCTACTTCAATCTATTCCTTTGTGTTAGTTATTGAAAAACAACAGACATTGCAAAAACAAATTGACCTTTTTGTGTTCCTTGAGTCCAGTCATAAAGGGCCCTGACTGGGCCTCGTGCCAAACAACTCATTACAAAAAGAGCTAGGGTCCCAGACCACACTGAAGCAAATGAGACCTCTCTCCATCTGTGCATGGATGGGTGGCGAACTCTGGAGCCCAAGCTGTTGCTTCCTGGTCTGATGGTGAATCTTCCATAGTCTGAGTATGGTGCCTGACTCTGGAGCCCAGGCTATTGCTTCCTGGTCTAGTGGTGAATCCTCCATAGTCTGGTGAATGTAAATATACGTATCTCCTTTTTCTTCTCCCCTTCCCATTGCAATTTGTTTATTATATCATTTGCTTATATATCTTCATTGCCATTTACATGGGATAAAGGCTGTTTACCCTTAAAGGTACTGTGTGTGTGTGTCTTTTCTTCTCCCCTCACGCATTTCCCACACAGGACAATCTTACAAAAACAAAGCCTAAGAACATTAACTGAAGTAAAATGAGATAGTGGGAAAAAACAGACATGGGGGCCTGGCACAGAGGCTCACGCCTGTAATCCCAGCATTTTGGGAGGCCGAGGAGGGCGGATCACGAGGTCAGAAGATCGAGACCATCCTGGCTAACATGGTGAAACCTTGTCTCTACTAAAGATACAAAAAAAAAAAAAAAATTAGCAGGGCATGGTGGCAGGTGCCTGTAGTCCCAGCTACTAGGGAGGCTGAGGCAGGAGAATGGCATGAACCCAGGAGGCGGAGCTTTCAGTGAGCCGAGATCACCCCACTGCACTCAAGCCTGGGCAACAGAGCGAGATTCCA